TAGAACAGAGAGGAGAGACTTCTTGGGTTCTGCCTTGTATGTTGTTAATATCAGTAGCAGCAGTGCAGTGAAGGAAGATTGAGCTACGCAACGGTGGTTAATTGAGGATGAGATGGCAACGCCGTCGTCGGGCAGTTATGGTCGAGACCGAGGTTTTTGCCTCGTCCTTCGCGTCTTGCCGCTGTTTTTTATTTCGACACGGGTTTTGAGCTAAAACCCCCTGCCCTGCCACCGTTTCATTCCACTATTCAAAATTTCCAATATCCTTATTTCTTTTTATTCTTTTCATTGTATTTATTTTGCCTTATTAATTCAACTAGTGCGTGGCCCGTGCAATGCACGGAAAATAATATTACGATCGTATTATAAATTAAATATATAAATAACATTAATCACAGTTCGACCGGATGAACGGAGAACCATTTTATAACCAGTCTAGTTCGCTTGAATAAGATACCAGTCGGTTGGATTTGTAGGATCGATACGATTTTTTAAATAAATTTTGTTATATTTAAAATTATTTTAAATAAAATTGCACATTTAAATAAAGTAGAGATTTATAAATTATTTATCAATTAGTTTAAACATTTGAATTTATAAATTTTTTAAATATATAAGTAACACATTTTATTTAAATTTATTACAAAAAGTACTATATATATATATATATAATAAAATGTTTATAAATTAAAATCTGAACAAACCACAAATGATTTAATAAAATAGCTTGATCGTTTCGATGACGGTCCAGTTCTGAGAACCTTATATTTAATGTACATTAATAAATATTATAATAAAATATTATTTAATTCACATAAATATTAATAAAATGATATATAAATATTCATAAATCATTAAACATGTTGCCATAAGAGTATTGTTAATACGATTATTTGAAATTTGGACTACATCACATTCACGTAAGAAAATATTTTTAATATAAAATTTATATTTAGGTTCAATAATCGATTTGTTTGATCGAACTGATTCATAACTTAATCACCTGGGACCAACCAAGTTGTGTCAAGTTTTTTGACTATTTTAAATATCACCTAAAAGTAATTCAATCAACCTGGACAGTACCCTAATTCAATCACCTGATTGATCCGAATAAATTTTCTTATTTTCTTTAAATATATTTAATTTTATGAAATAAAACTATTTTATGATTCATATAATAAATGTCTACACCAAATGATAGTATATTAAGATTATAAATTATATATCTTAAGATGAAATTATTTTTACTTTATGCATATTAATAAAAAATAAACATAGTAATTTTCAAAAAATTAAGATTAATTAATTGGTTATGCAATTTAAAGAATATTTTTAGCGTTCAATTTTTTTAAAGGCACAAATATAAAGACCGAGATTCTAAAATTTTTGTTATATTTTGAATTGAGATTTTATAAATATAGATACCGAGATTTTAATTTTGTTCGTTGTTTCTAAGAAAAAACTAAAAATAAAAAACATACACACTTAATAAATCTTAGCCGGATTTTTTAAATAATAAAATGAACTATAGCCTGAAATTTAAGGTAGCATTTAATGTTGTATGATTTTTAAGGAAAAAATAAGAAAAATAATAAAACTTACTATTTATAGGCTGCATTAAATTCTGACCTATTTTTTGTTACTATTTTTGATAAATGTTAATTCTTATTATATATATATAGATTCTGTTAGTTTTACTTGTTTGGTTTTAACTTTTAACTACTACGTACCCCGTGCGATGCATGGAACATAGATATTAAATAAGTTATTTTCACACCCTTGTCCGTCTAAGTCTAAAAAATAATAGAGTTATTATCTATTTTCTATCTCTTTTATTCAACGTTAAGTCTAAAAAATAATAGGTTATTATAAGTTTTTTTTCCACATCTTTTAACCAACGTTGTTTTTTTAGCCATAACATTAAAGATGAACATGTTACGGCCTAGCTTGTAAAATAATTAATATATTATCTCACTAAAATATTTATATAATAAGAATTTAATTTTAGCATATAAATTTATCTCTTGGTATAAGAGAAAGTAACAATTTTACTTATTGTTGTTCACTATATAATATTTAATTATTATTTTATGATATAATAAAAAGGAATACTGTTAAACAGTGTAATAGAATTGTTATAAAATTATATGAATTATTTTTTTTTACCATATGGATTTAGTATCTTTTTATGATTTGATAATATAACTATAATATATTCTTAATGATACAATCTGAAATTGGATGACATAATTTCAATACATAAATAATAAAATTTTTGGTAAAAAGATAAGAAAAAAATTTCAATTTCAATCTACAAAAAGTTTAAAACGATTTTATGGGATTTTGTTGACTAAACAGATTGTATGGGATAAAACAAATAGAAGATAAGAAGGGAATTTTAAATATACAAAAAATTAAAGTCGATTTTGTGAGATTTTTTCGCTGGAAAACCGATTGTATGGGATAGTAATAGCATTAGCTGAATCGCATAGCATTAATTTCAATATAAAATAATTAAATAAAATACATGCTGGAAATAGTAATAGCATTAATTGCAGTTGAATTTTCTAGATACTATTTGTAGTAAATAGGATCCCTTTTTATACAAGTATAGATTATGCCTATAGTTGGACTATACAATCATCAACTATCATTTTCTCTTATTGTATTCCCTTTAAGCTTCTTTCACTAAATTGACATTGTTGTAGAGAATTAAAAAATAAAAAATTACTGGTGTAGGAGTCTAGTGTTGTTTAATTAAACCAGTCTGACTCGGCTCGTCTCGAACTCAGCTCATTAATGTTTGCGTTCGGCTCGACTCGTTTGATAAACGAGCTGAGCTCGAGCTCATTTAAAGCTCGTTTAGTTAATGAGCGAGCTCGACTCGGTTCGTTAAGACTCGAAAAGATAATTTTTTTTTTTTTTTTTTTTTTTTTTTTTTATAATTTTCTATAGTTCGACTCTTTAAAGCTTGGGTTCGTTAAGGCTCAAACTCGACTCGTTATTAGTAATAAACGAGCGAGCGCTTAGGGTGCTTGAGCCCTTAAAATAAACAAGTCTGAAATCAAACTCGAGTTCGACTCATTTACAGGAAAAAAATATATTATAAAAAATAACTAAATTATATTTTTCAAATTACTCCAACTTATATTAAAGAAAAAATATATAAATAAAAAACAGTGGCCTTAAAATTCGAGATGCCACTTGAATAGGAATGTAAACGACTCGAGTTGAGCTCGAGCTTAGGGTGTTCGAGCTCGAGCCTTTAACAAGTCGAGCTAGTTATAACTATAACTTAAGCTCGACTCATTTATTACTATTAACAAGCCGAGTTTGAGTCTAATGAACCGATTTTAACAAACACTATAAAAAATTATAGAAAAATTCTCCTTTCAAGCTTTTTTTAACGAGTTTTATCGAGGCCAGTTGTTAACCAAACCGAGCTTTAACTAAACTCAGTCTTAACGAGAGACTTTAACAGCACTCCTTAATCTGATCCGTGCCAGACCAAAGAAGACGAAGAAGAAGAAATCATGGTGGTGGCCGGAAAGAAAAGCACCAGCATAGTGAGCAAAGCTTGTAAATTGTGAAGAATTGTGTGAAAGCGATACACAATGGGAAGTGGGTACGATGATGGATCGTTCGTGAAGAACAGATATTGGATTCTCAGACACGGCAAAAGCATCCCTAATGAAAAGGGTCTCATTGTCTCCTCACTGGTTTCTTCCCCAACCCATTCCAATTCCCTCATATATTTTATTTTGAAATGCTTACAAAAGCGGCCTTTCTGCATCGTTTGTTTCTTTTGCTTCGTATTGTGGCAGGAAAGTGGAATGCTTGAAGCGTATCAATTGGCTTCTGATGGGGTTAGTCAGGCTCGTTTGGCTGGAGAATCTTTCCTCAAGGCAAGTCTCGCTGACATTATTCACCAAGATTGCATTTTTCTTATAATTTCACTCTCTATTTTTATGCTTGTCTGCTCTCTGGAACTTTGGATGACAATTGGCCGAGTTTTTTTGGTTTGTGAGCATGTTGAAGATTTTCAGCTTCTTCTTCTAGTGTGTGCTAATACATTATATTGAAATTTTTAGCTCAATAAGGAGGAATTGGTAGTGAAGTTTCTAGAAAAAAAAAATATATATCAAACGGCGCAATGCACCTTGGGTCGCTACGGAAACAGCCTCCTTGTATAATTACAAGGGTAAGGTCTGCGTACAACTGACCCCCCAGACCCCAACTTGTTGGGAATATACTGGGTATGTTGTTGTTGTTGTTGTAAGGAGGAATTGGTAGCTTGTACTTCAGCTTCTTTCCATGGCCTTACAAATTTTTCGAATTGGATTAAGCTTAAATTGTTGCAATTGATAATTACAAAACATTACGATTTACGACAGATGTGCTGTGGCCATTTATTGATTCTTTTTTATGTAAGTGTTTATTGGCTCATTAACGTTTTCTTTGTAATGGCTTAGCTAAGGTTAGAAAGGACAAGGTAGGAGTATTTAACTATTTATATGTTAAACACCTAAATAAATGGTGTTTTACTGAATCAAGTCTGTAGTTGCTGGAGTTAAGTACCCCTTTTTATCAGCTGTTTATTTTGTGTGCGGATTCTTTCAAATTTAATTTTGCATAATTTGCCACTTAATTTCAGCAAAAGCGTTCGTTTGATGTAGAAAGCCTTTTGGTTCCTTAAGTTGTATATCCTTTGGTGGAAACTGGAAGTTACCATGCTTAGTAGGTTACCCATCTGAGGATAAAGCTCATATTTCGCCTGGATTTTAAAGATTAATTCTGTATGCAGCATTTGAAAGAAAATGAAATTGATCTGAAAAATGTCCGAATCTGCTATTCACCATTCTCAAGGACCAAGCACACTGCAAAAGAAGTTGCTTCTGTCTTAAATATTCCATTTGAAGGCCCACAATGCAAGGTCTGTGTTCTACTCACTGATGTTTTCAACTTTCCTGAAGAATTTCAGAAGCCAATTTAAATATAAAAAATATGTTCGAATGTTGGGGAAGAACCAGATTTGTTAAAATCACCACTGCTACCCTTGTCGGTAGTCACATTACAAATATCCTGGAAATTGAGTTTGTTGTTATCGTTAAGTAGTCACTTGAGATGTTTTCAGTCTATAGTTGAGCTGATTAATTTTGTTCATTCTGGAGATGTAATTCAATATATTTATTGGTAACATTGAATTGCAGCAGAACAAGGAAGATATTGCCAGAAATGTTAGCTAAGCTCCTGTTGTTTCTTATTAGAATTAATAAAATCAATACTGCCTAAGTTTGGATTTGCAATTTTTTTAACACATGAACTGAGTGATACATTATGGACCTCGGAGTTATTTTATGGTCACTGTATTCTACTACCCTTTGAGCAATGAGTTTAATGAAGTGCGGTTAGAGGGCTTATATCTATTCCATATAGCCTCATGCTTCAATGCCTAATTTGTTTTTTCGTTCACTTTCCTTGCAGGTTGTGCATGATATTCGAGAGAGATTCTTTGGCTCTTCGTTTGAGCTGCAATCTCATGATAAAGTAAGAAACCAACCTTTGTAATATTGAGCTCGATGCCAGTGAGTTAAGAATAACATATATTATTTGTTCGTTCAACCTTAATAAACTCATGATTCTTTCATACTTTCTTTCGTCCAAAGTACCCTGAGATTTGGAACTTGGATGAGAAAGATCCCTTTATGCAGCCTGAAGGTGGAGAAAGTGTTGCGGATGTTGTCACCAGGCTCGCAAGAGCTTTGGCAATAATGGAATCGGAGTTTGAAAAGTAAGATTCAAAATTGTTCGTCTTTCTTTATCTGTCGATGTCGTCAAATCTTTATAATGATGTCAAATATTGTTTGTGCAAGTATCACACGTGTAAGGGATTATAAAATTGTGCTACAATTTTGATATCTCCTCATGGAGGAAGGCATTATAAAAATCGTGCTTTCCATAGGCTACATCAAAGGAGCAAAAATGCTGAAACTGGTACTTGCTAAGTTCAATTTAGAGAGCGACGTTCAAATTGCACCTGTGATTAGTTTTCTAATACTGCATTTTTTGAGTTTTTTACAGCCTTTGTTAACACTTGCCAATATCCTTGTAATAATTAACTTGAATGTGATGTTTAATTCAGTAATTGCTCTCGTGTAGGTGCACAATATTGGTGGTAAGCCATGGTGATCCACTGCAGATTCTGCAGACAATTGTGAATGCAGCAAAAGAACATGGAAATTCGACTGAAAATGAATTGATTTCTAGAATAGAAGCAATCAGAGTCTCGTCCGTTCTCTCACAGCACCGCAAGTTTGCTCTTAATACTGGAGAGCTTCGTGAATTAATATAGGCCGCAATAATCAATCTGCAGGCAACAATTAGAGCTTTCTAATTTGTTTCTGTTGGTAATAATTCCTTAACATTCGAGACCCTTGATCGTCATTTTTTCCATATATTGCTACCACATTTCATTTGAATTTGAATGATGAAGGCTGAGGAGCAGCTAGACCCATGTAAACTTATGTTTGTTTCGTCACATGCTGGCGATCTTGTTCAAGATTTTTTTTATTTTTTTTATTTTTTTTATTTTTTTTTTCAAACGGCAATCTTATTAATAATTTAAAAACTCAAAAGAGTACAACCAAAGTGTCAAATGACACACTAGAACCAGAAGATTGGACCAACTCCCTTGTCGTTACATGCAAGGGGTACAAACTCCATCAAGGAGACGAACTAACACAACACAAAACTCCAAAAAAGAGATCCTAACTCCAGAAAAGCAGACACAACTGCACTAGAAGCAGACAAAGCTGCACGAACAAAAAACACAAGAAAAAAAAAAAAACAACTCACACCTAATAAACAAAATAGAATAATACCACCCCTAAGCCTAACAACCAAATCTCATGACCACCTAAACTGCCTACCGAACCACACTCTCCACAAGAACGCCAACGAGCAATCAAATTAGTCATCAAAACCGAAAACTGCGGCAACTCAACTGCCTAGATGGATTATCAGTCCAGATCTGACTCCTAAGAACATCCATGTCGGGGGAGGAAGTGAGAGCCGGCACGCAGGAGGGCCCTAGACAAGGATCCAAAGAAGCACCCGCCGCAACCTGAGTGGCCCGATCCGACGAATCGCCGACGACGAGACAGAGCTTCCCAGCTGGCCGCAGCAGAGAAGGCACCTTGGATCCTTGGAGAAGAAGATAGCACAGTACCGGACCTCCGACGAACTGACAAACTCCCTCGGCTGGGGCCAGAAAAAGACGACCGGCGACCCCTCCGGGGCCGGGGGGAAAGACCGGGAGGCGAAGCCGCGAAGCTCACCGCCGGCCGTTACACCCGCCCGGATCCAGGAGGGGCAGAGAGGGGCACCCAGCCGCGACTCGGCGAGGTCGGCCCGGTGACCGCTGAGATCGATTTGCCGGCAAAAGGGGGGGCAGCGAGTCTGGGATTGGTGGAGTTCTGAGGGAAGAGGAAAGGGGATCTGAGGAAGAGGAAAGGGGCGGAGGAGATCTTGTTCAAGATTTCTTAGGGCATGCTTGTTTATGAAATAATTCATTTCACACTCAAAATCTAACTCAACTTTAACTCAACCCCACTATCATTTATATTATTTATATAATTAAATATTATAAACCAATCATTCTTACATATAAATCCAATCAGCGCTTCCTCCAAATCAGATCGCTCCGCCTTCCCCGGTGACGGAGATGTCACGGCCCATGGTCGTCTTTGACCACCCGTTCCCCTCTTGGTGACGCGCGCCCCTGAGATGGCCATGGAAGCTCAGCGGTCGGAGGTCCTTTCAATTGGTTGCAGACGGGGCTACGGTTGGTGGTGACGACCCTTCTGGTCTTCTGGTCGACGTCTGGCCGGCGATTCGCTCAATTGCCGGCGGGAGCTGTTCGGTGGAGGTAAGCCATTCAATTTTATTCTGTCTGCGGTTGATGGGTCGCGCTTTTCCGGTGGGGTTTCGCCATTCTGGCGGTGTCCGACCTCTGAAAGTTGGTGTTTTGTGGCCGTTTTGGACGGTGCGTGTGCTGATGGGTGGTGCGGGACTCCAGTGCTGCGGCAGTCCTGTTGCAGCGATTAGAGTTGAGAGGACGAGCCACTCTCACCCTCCCCTGTGCGGCTAGTGGTGTTAGGCGGCGCGGGGATGGGTTCTCTCGAGCTCGGCTAGTGGTGCTTGACGAGTTCGGGTAGGTCTGGTGTGGGGGCTGGTCGTTGCTCTCTTGGTTGGGATCGGGTCGATTCGGGGTTTGGTTTTGGGGTTCGGTTAATTCTACTGTATAGGCGTTTTCGTAGTTTCGGTAGTTGTTTGCTCGAGCCTGGAATCTTTCTCGTGTCGATCGTTCACTGCGGGTCTGGCTCTTTTGCTTTTGCTGGGGAAGGGCTATGTTTTGCTTCCTTTGATTTGTTGCTTGAGTTTGTGTTAGTTTGTGTTTTTGGTCTGGGTTCTTTACCTGAGTGCTTTATGTATTGTCTTTTTGGTTTGGGCCGTTGGTCTCTGTGTGAGCGGGAGCAATTGATTGTCCTGTGGGGACCAGCTTTTGTCTCTATTCTCCTGTGGGGAGCTTTTCGTTGTAGTTTTCCTGTGTGTTTGTTGTGTACTTGTTTTGAGTGCCTTGTTTTGGTTTCTAGCGATTGCTAGTGTCGGGTTTCTAGGCAGTCGTCAGACCTGTCCTCCCATTTTATTCAGCTTTGGGCTGCGCTCCAAGTTGTACCTTTGCACATTTGTGCGTTTGTTTTATAAATTATCTATCGTTTCGACAAAAAAAAATCATTCTTACATATCACATCAACTTTAATTCACTATTCATCCACTCACATAATTTTAACTACCTATCATTTACAATCATTTCCAATCATTTATATCTTACTTTTACATCAAATAATTAATAATCATTTTATTTTAAATATTATTTTAATATATTATTAAAATCCACTAACAATTAACCATACTACCTTTTTCAAAATTAACTCTAGTTAACTAAAATAACTCATTTTGAATGAAGTATTTCATAAACAAGCACACCCTTACTTTTGAGCAGTTCGTGTTTTTTNTAGTAATACTATTTGTCTAACCATTTGAAATAGGTTCATGCCTGCAGTTTGCATTATATTAATTGACCTTATTTATTTGAGAAATATTATATTTTAAAGAATATTATATTTTAAGATGTATATATAAACAAATGAAAGAGTTATAATAGGTAGTCCAATTGTACAATAATATAATATTTGACGAAACAAAAATCATATTTTATTAAAGATCTGCTTATACACAATACTAGTACGAATTACATGTACGGGTAAGAGATATTCATTAATATTTATAAATTAAAAATTTTCATTAAATAATATTTATAAAATAAAAACATGGAATCAATATGTAATACAATGTACCTATATTCATTTATTGTAAATATTATATAAAATTTAAATTGTACAAAATTACATAAAAATGTCTATTTTTAAAATTAGTACACAACCCGTGTGTTGCACATAATGATAATAAATTACATTATATTCGTTTCAATATATGTGTCATTTTAAGAAATTTTATTCAGAAATTCGATTTGACTATAACGTGATTCTATAAAATAATTATTTTGCAAAAGTTTAGCATATATTTAAAAACCTATGTGAATAATAAATATAAAGATAAAACTTATATTGTTTCATTAACTAAAATGAATTTATTTTTGTATAAAATATCCAAATAAAAAAATTTAAGTAGGTAAGTAAAAACAATCAGTCATAAGATTTTTTATGCCAAAAAATTTGACATTCTTTTTCATGCTAAAAAAATGATCAGTGCAATTCACACAAAAATTATTTGAAATGTCGTAACATAAAATGAATTAAATTGAGACCCATTGATTATAAAAAAAAAAAATGACCATAGTTTTTCTATAAAAAAAACATCGATACACGCACATGATATCAAAATATTTGTTCATACTTTTTTGTCGGAGTTACAATAATTTTATTACGTTAATTTCATACGACATGAAATAAAAATTGAAATACACACCTAAATATTAATATATTAGCCTGCCCATTACAGAAAAAAGTACACCGTATATTGATTAATTTTTCAACAAATTTTCTACTAAAAAATAGTCATCAAATAATCTAAATAAATTTGCTCACTTTATACTATATATTGGTTAATTTATTTCCCATAGAAACAACCCTCAGTACCAAAAATAAATCCATCCACTTTATACAATAAATTAATTAATTCATATGATTTGAGTAATTAAGGTATCTTAAAATATGACTTAATTACTTCCTTAAATAATGAGCTGCAATTTCCATAATTGATCATTTAATTTATACCATAAATTATTAAAATAATTTACAGAAATAGTAAATAGATTTTTTTGGAGGGAAATAGTTACTATTTAAAAAATAATCAAATATTTATATACATATATTTATATATATTATGAGTTTGATTTATTGGGCAACTCATCATTTTCACAATCTAATATCTTCAACCCCCTTCTATTATTTCGCATGAGCTTTAAAGTGAAGTACGAAGGTAGTTTTCTCGATGGATTCAATGCTGGGATATTTATAATTTATATTTGTGCAGGAAAAGAGACTGTCATTATTCAAATTATTCTTAAAAAATTTGATTTGGAAAATACTCTTTGTATTTTGAAATATAGTCTACCTACAAATACGCAATTTAAATACTTTAAAAAAAATATTATCTCTATTTAAAAAATAACAGATTATGTTTCGAAAATAGATATCTTTAAGAATTCAGATTTTAATTTTCAGAATCCAAACCAATTTGAAATTCTATGCAATGTTTCATCATGCCCGATTTTATGAGAAACAAATCATATGGGAATTTTTTAATTTATAAATGTTGAATTCAAATTGAATCCGGATTTATGAGAAACAAATCATACGGGAATGGATTTTGACTTTTAAATATTGTACATTCAAATATGACTTTATCGACCGAAAGGGTGATTCAAAATCTGTTGCAATTAGGAAAAAATCTTATTTAATAGATAATAGACTTGATTTTATGGTTACATAAAAATTGTCCCACCGGGCGTGGCAATTTTGTAACAACAAATTTTATGGAAAAAACATAAAATTTTTGTACAACTTGAATATATTTCGATTAAACGATATGCGGGTACAATCTCTATATGAACCTTCTGATTCTTCTCTTCTTAGATTTGGGCTGTGTCTTCAACTTGAATGTCGTGGATCTTCAAGAACACCTTTGGATCACCAAGAGAATTATTGAGAGCTCTTTGAATTGAGACTTTGATCTTTGGATCTTCAAGAGAATTATTGAGAGCTCTTTGAATTGAAACTTTGCTTTATGAGGGGTTGGTTTCTTTAGGTGTTCTTAGATTTTTTAGGTATGATTTGTGACTTTGAGGAGAGCCATATTTATAGGTGTATGAGAGAGTCTTGGAGAAGAAAACATCAATTTGATTGGTCCTTCTTGATTTGATATAACATCTTTCCTTATCCTAAGATTTGATATAATATCTTTTCTAATCATAAGATTTGACTTGGTGGGCAAGA